GAATTCCTGAATTTCCACATTGCCATATTCCTGAATTCCTGAATTCCTGAATTTCCACATTCCCAAATTCCCGGATTTCCAAATCCCCAAATTCCTGAATTCCCAAAATCCCTGAATTCCTGAATTTCCACATTGCCATATTACTGAATTTCCATACTGCCATATTCACAAATTCCTGAATCCCTGAATTCCCACATTCCCAAATTCCTGAATTCCCAAAATCCCTGAATTCCCATATTGCCATATTCCTGAATTTCCAAATCCCCAAATTCCCGAATTCCTGAATTTCCACATTCCCAAATTCCCGGATTTCCAAATCGCCAAATTCACAAATTCCTGAATTCCCAAAATCCCTGAATTCCTGAATTTCCACATTCCCAAATTCCCGGATTTCCAAATCCCCAAATTCCCAAAATTCCTGAATTCCTGAATTTCCACATTCCCAGATTCCCGGATTTCCAAATCGCCAAATTCACAAATTCCTGAATCCCTGAATTACCAAATTCCCAAAATTCCTGAATTCCCAAAATCCCTGAATTCCTGAATTTCCACATTGCCATATTCCTGAATTTCCAAATCGCCAAATTCCTGAATTCCTGAATTTCCACATTCCCAAATTCCCGTATTTCCAAATCGCCAAATCCCCAAATTCCTGAATCCCTGAATCCCTGAATTACCACATTCCCAAATTCCTGAATTCCCAAAATCCCCGAATTCCTGAATTCCCAAATTTCTGAATTTCCAAAACCCCAAATTCCTGAATTCCCGAATCCCCAAATTTTCAAATTTCCAAATTCCTGAATTTCCAAAATCCCAAATTCCTCAATTTCCAAATCCCCAAATTTCCGAATTTCCAAATCCCTGAATCCCCGAATTTCCAAATTCCTGAATTTCCAATTTCCCAAATCCCCGAATTCCCAAATTCCTGAATTTCTGAATTCCCGAATTCCTGAAGTTCCAAATTCCTAAATCTCTGAATTCCTGAATTTCCAAATTCCCAAATCCTTGAATTCCCAAATTCCCAAATCTCTGAATTCCCGAATTCCTGAAGTTCCAAATTCCTAAATCTCTGAATTCCTGAATTTCCAAATCCCCAAATTCCCAAATTCCCAAATTCCTGAATTTCCAAATTTCCAAATTCCCAAATCCTTGAATTCCCAAATTCCCAAATCTCTGAATTCTCGAATTCCTGAATTCCCAAATTCCCAAATTCCCAAATCTCTGAATTCCTGAATTTCCAAATCCCCTAATTTCCACATTTCCAAATTACCAAATTCCTGAATTCCCGAATCCCAAAATTTCCAAATTCCCAAATCCTTGAATTCCCAAATTCCTAAATCTCTGAATTCCCGAATTCCCAAATCTCTGAATTCCTGAATTCCCAAATTCCTGAATTTCCGAATTTCCAAATTCCCAAATCTCTGAATTCCCGAATTCCTGAATTCCCAAATTCCCAAATCCCTGAATTCCCAAATCCCTGAATTCCCGAATTCCCAAATTCCTGAATTTCCAAATCCCCGAATTCCCGAATTCCCAAATTCCTGAATTTCCGAATTTCCAAATTCCCAAATCCTTGAATTCCCAAATTCCCAAATCTCTGAATTCCCAAATTCCTGAAGTTCCAAATTCCTAAATCTCTGAATTCCCAAATCCCCAAATCTCTGAATTCCCAAATTCCTGAAGTTCCAAATTCCTAAATCTCTGAATTCC